TCCCTGGTCACCTCAAGATCAAGTCAGCCAGAATCCCAGCATAGATGAGAAGATGATCCCCAGATGCCATTCCAAACTGAGGATCTATTGGCAGTGAATAGTTCCTGGGAGAAAGAGAATCATCCTTTATTGAAGATAGAGCCATTGGTAGGTTTCCTTTGCTCCAATGGATGGCTACACACCCATATACATTTGGGTGGCACTAACTGGATATCAAAAAACTGACATAACTTGGGAGAAGGCTTATTAGAAGAATATAAAGGGAGCTGGAGGGAGGGGAAAGGAGTAGAAAGTAAATATGATCCTATTTTATTATATACATATATACTATTTTAAAAAATAATTTTTTTATAAATGGATTAGTTTATTTTGGCTTAATGTTCCTAGGGAGAGCCCATAATGACTGGAACCAGGTCAGGAAGCCAAGATATGAAATATTCAATCACAAGAAAGCAGCAGAGAAAGCAAACTGGAAGTGACATGAGGATATACATATATTGTTGTTGGAAGCTGCTTATTCATTTCCTGGCCACCCAGACTCCCAAAATAATCACACAGAAATTATATTACTTAAATCACTGCTTGGCCAATCACTTAAGCATATTGCTAGCTAGCTTTTACATCTAGTATCAACCCATTTCTATTATTTTATATTTTACCATAAGGCTCTTGGCCTACTGGCAAGGTTCCAGCTGGCAGCTCACATCTTTCCACTCTGGCAACTCCATGGCTTCTTGCAACTCCACCTTCTTTCTCCCAGTATTCAGTTTAGTTTTCCCCACCTAGCTCTATTCTACCATATCACCTAGCTCTATTCTGCCCTATCACAGGCCAAAACAACTTCTTTATTCATTATCAAATAAAAGCAACACATATATAGAAGGACCTCCCACACCATTTCCCCTTTTCTGTTTACATAAAAAGGGAAGGTTTTAACTTTAACATAGTAAAATTACATATAACAAGGCAGGTATCAACCAAGAATTACAGTTATAGCATTTATATATACTTTATTTTTTTATCATAACTAAGGAAAACTATAACAATAACTATCTGTTCTTCAACTCCATCAAAGACTATAGGTAGATATAATATTAGCTAAGTAAATATGTATGTGTGTGTGTGTGTGTGTGTGTGTGTGTGTATAATGGACTCCTCTGTAGGTCTGAAGTTATCTTCCGTAGTCAGTTTTCATTCACCTCAGTAGAGAGAATACGGACAAATCCTCTTTTCTTTGTAGAACAGCAAGGGATATGAAAACACTTCCCTACTTTTCTTTCCTCTTCATCCTCCTCCACACAGGAGTTCATCATGTTTGGAGAGGGATTCTTCTCTATATTCCATCTCTTCCTTCAGGACTTTAAAAGTTTTCCCCCTTGAAAAATAAAAACTTTTCACAAGAATTTTGTCCCCAATCTCTGCCATGACTTGTGATCTTTCGATCATGGACATTTTAAAAAATTATTCAAAGAGAGTTAATGAAAAGGAAATCACATCAACAACCAAACCTCTGTTTAAAAAAAAAAGTGAAGCTCTCATTTCCCCATAACAATTACCTTAGAAAGCTCAACTATATAAAAGGGGCTTCATGTAGATAAGAATACAGCAGACAGGAAGACTCATCCAGGGTGTATGTCTTCTCTCCTATGTTTCTGTTATGCACACTAGAGTGGATCTGGGCCTCCTGCGGTTCTTTCAACAGCTATCTCTGGAAGTTAAGCCACATATCAATTTATATGTTTTGTATTATTTGATACATAGATAAGAGACTAAGAAAGACCATCATATATTCTGATGAAATTTGGAGCTCAATAGACATGGGTTTGTTATTCTAAAGGAAAAAAACAATTAAGAGGAGGGGACAGAAGACAAAGGGAGGGGTGGGGTGAGAAGAAGAGAATAGAGAAGAAAAGATTATTTAGCAGTTAGCATCCTTTTTATTTAAATATTTTATTTTTTATTCTTTAAACAATCTCATTTTATATACCAATCCCAGTTCCCTCTCCCTCCCATCCTCCCGTTTCCCCCCCATTTTCTCACCCCACCCCCATCGACTCCTCAGAGAAGGTGAGACCTCCATGGGCAGTCAACAAAGTCTGTCAAATCACTTGAGGCAAGGCCAAGACTCTTTTCCCCTGTATCTAGGTTGAGCAAGGTATCCCTACATATGGAACAGGCTACAAAAAGCGAGTTATGTACTAAGAATTAATATTGGGTCCACTGCTAGGCCCCACAAACTTCCCAAACAACACTACTGTCACCCACATTCAGAGGGCCTAGTTTGGTCTTATGCAGGTTCCCTAGCCATCAGTCAGGAGTCCCTGAGCTCCCACTGCCTCAGGTCATCTGTCTCTATAGGTATTACCTACATGGTCTGTCACCTTTGCTTGTAATACCACTTTTCCCTCTCTATGACTGGACTCCAGGAGTTTGGTCCAGTGCTTAGCTGTGGATCTCTGCATCTGCTTCCATCAGTTACTGGTTAAGGTTCTATGATGACAATTAAGGTAGTCATTAATCTGATCACAGGGGAAGGGTATTTTAGGTACCCTCTCCACTATTGCTAAGATTCTTAGCTTGGTTCATCCTTGTAGATTCCTGGAAATTTCCCTAGTGCCTGGTTTCTCCCTAACCCCATCATGGCTCCCTCTTTTAAGGTATCTCTTTCCTTGCTTTCCCTCTCTGTCCGTCACCCAACTCAACCTTCCCAGTCCCTCATGTTCTTCTCCCTAATCCCCTGATCCCCTTCTCTCCCCACTCCTCTACTGCCCCTGTGGGACAATGGTCTTGTACCCTGTAAAGATTTATCACTTGTACTGTTTTAATAAAACACTGATTGGCCAGTAACCATGCAGGAAGTATAGGTGGGGTGGCCAGAATAGGAGAATTCTGGGAAGAGGAAAGAACTGTTCCTGCCTGGCTGCTTTTCTACATGTTGACATCCAGTTATGCCAGCACCGTTTGCTAAATAGGCTTTTTTTTTCATTGTATAATTTTAGCTTCTTTGTCAAAAAATCAGGTGTTCAGAGGTATGTGGCTTTATATAAGGGTCTTTGATTCGATTCCATTGGTCCACCTAGCTGTTTCTGTGCCAGTACCAAGCTGTTTTCATTACTATAGCTCTGTTGTAGAATTTGAAGTCAGGGATTGTGATCTCTCTGGAACTCTCTTTATTGTACAGGATTGTTTTGGCTATCCTGGGTTTTTTGATTTTCCATATGAAATTGAGTATTGTTTTTTCTATGTTGACAGAGGTTTCTGTCCTGCCAGATTCCACAGCTCTTCAGTCCCAAAGAAACACACAGAGGCCTACATTGATTATAAACTGGTTGGCCTATTATCTCAGGTTTCTTATTAATTAATTCTTTTTTTTTTTTGGTTTTTCGAGACAGGGTCTCTCTGTAGCTTTGGTGCCTGTCTCGGAACTAGCTCCTGTAGACCAGGCTGGCCTCGAACTCCCAGAGATCCTCCTGCCTCTGCCTCCCGAGTACTGGGATTAAAGGCGCGTGCCACCACCGCCCGGCTATTAATTAATTCTTTTATCTTACTTTAACCCATAAGTGACAAATCTTTACAGGGTACAAGACCATTGTCCCACAGCATTTCAAGGTCTGTGAAGAGTTGTACTGGGATTTTGATGGGGATTGCATTGATTCTGATACAACAAGCCAACAGCTAACATCAAACTAGATGGATAGTAGTTAACATCTTAATCAAGAAGGCATGGCTTTTCTTTAGAGTTCAGAATACTGGGCAAAAGGAGATGCCATCTTCCCCAAGGAACAGCCATGATTGTAGAAGCCCCTTGGGAGCCTTTGAAAAGAAGAGCAAGCAAGAGGGAAACAGGCATGGAGGGGGCGGGGCTGGTCCCTAGGCAGTCCATTCAGTTAAATGGGTGAGACTCACTAAAACCTTTCCAGATAATTTAAACTCACCACCGGGCTATGAACCAGTGCCTAAAATCAGCATCTTATCTGAGAACATTACTTGTGACAGAGGCCTTTTCTCCTGTACCATTTGATAAGAACAGTGACAAGCATGCCAGCATTTTTCTGACAAACCTGCCTCTATGTGAATCTCAGTGTGGCCACTATGTTCCATCCTCCAACTGTTTTCTGTCATTATCTCAGTAAAACATTGACATGCCAATCAAAATCACCGTTTCCACTCCCTACGATCCTTTCGTGAACCTCTCATAGCCACGTGGTTGGTCCATCCCAGGTGTAGCCAAGGAGATTTTGTTCTTCATTTCTCCACTTTTCTAGAGTGACTGGCATATGACCATATACCAAGCTTGTCACCTATTGTAGTTCCATCCCAAATGCATTGCCTTAGTGCCCTGCCTTTGAGTTCCTGCTTGTCTTTCTTCAGCCTTCTGCCTCACATTCCTCACCACACCAGAGATCTTCACATTAATCTTCTTTTGTTTTTGATTGATCTTACATAAATAATACTTCATTTCTTTTTTATTTCCTGCCAGTCTTTGATTCCTCATCGCTTCACTCTCTTTTTGCTGCTATCCCAGACCATAAAGTTAACATAAATGCCTCCTTGCCAGCTTACTTAACCTCCTTTGGCCTCCAGTTGTTGCCCTATCCCTGGATATTAAATGCTGACATTTTAATTTAATTTTAAGTTCATCTTTAGTACTTACGAAATGTGTTAGATATGCAATCTCGCTTTAATCTGCTTTTTTTCATTCTGTAGACATTCTGATTCTTACTCATACTCTTCGGCTTTATTGCAGTTTAATGGACTTGAGTCTTATTTCTGTAACTGTAAATTTTGAGGATTAACATCATTAAACTGTTCTCCAAAACAGTTGTAGCAATACACAAAATATACATCTAGAAAAATATTCAAATTATCTATCAATTAAAATAAGGAAAAGATTCTCACTGCCGTGAACTGTATTGAAACTCTTGTCCATTTCAGATATGTCCGTGTGATCTGTGTCTTCCCCTGTGCCCCCCCCAATCCATTCATGCTTCCTCTTTCAGTTTATTAAAGTCAAAATGTGATGGATGGCTGCGTGGAACCTCATCATCCATTAATGCCTGCTCAAACTCTCCTAACAGTGGACAAAACAGGAGGGAGAAGAAGACAGTGGAGTTTCAGTCACACGCGGAGGATGACGTCCAGGGGATATGCCAACAGAAAGACACGTGCAGCCCCCAGAGAGGTGAGTGTAGTGTCTGCAGTAGCAGAAAGAGAAGGATGGTGGAAGGTGGCTGGTGCCTGCAAGCCAGTGGACAGCAGGTTATTTCCACTATGCCGAGCTCGAGGTAGCATTTCAGATAAACATATGCCTGCAAAACTGTGGGTGGCACAGCTACTGCATGCTCAGATCACATCTGCATTTATTTCTCTGAGAGTATTGATAGGAGACAATCTGTTCAGTTTGACCCCTTTTTTAAAATCTGAATTAAACAGTAAGGTTATAGATTCTAAATGATGTTTTCAAAATGAATAACAGAATAAAGAGTTGAACCTAAATCTCTCCTGGAAAAGTAAGGTCTCATAATAATGGTTAGTCCTCAATTGACTGGTAATGTGGGGAGGTCATGAGCAACTTTACATTGGAACTAAACATGATCACCCAAGTCTGAGAAAATATTGCTTTGCCTTCTTTGAAGTGCTAATAATACTACAAGGAACTCTGAAATGATGAATGAAAGAGGTATTTGCTTCCCAGCTGCTCCTATTGTGACTCCTGGTGCAGTCTATGCCAACAGCCTTAAGGACAAACTTGAAAGGGAATGAACCTCCTTGTGGAGAGATGTATGGGAAACAGCCTCCTTTGCTCACACCTTCTCATGATTTTTTTTTCATGCTCCTCCGTCTACCAGCATAGTTCCCCTCCTGCGATGTTAAGCAGCCAACTGTTCATCATCTCTGCATCAACTCTCATGTTTGCTTTATTTATTTGAGAATGGGTGTGCTTCGGGAGAAAGTTTCACACACACCCTTCTCTGCTTTCCCCACCTGCTGCCAGCTTTGCTGTTTCTGAGGGTTAATTGCCAGCAATCTAAAATAAATTGCTTTATCCTCTTCCAGGCAACTGAGAGATGACAATTTTTCCACACTTCAAAAGAGAAGCACCACAATTTCTCTTTAGCATAAGGCAAATAAATATTCTACAGAGTGCCACTGCGGACATACAACATTGAAGCTTCCTTTTAGGTGTTGCTCACAAGACAAAGATGAAACTGAGGAGACTTACTGTCCAAGCTGGCCTCTGACTTTCTCTGGCAGTCATCTTTCAGCAGTGAAAACCTTTAGTTCCCCTTATTCTCGCCATTGCTGCAGAGAGAGGTTCCAGTCAGAACTGGTCTAGTGGTTACTCTGCAAAACCGTAATCTTGTGTTGCCGTGTCAACACATGTATGTCATGTGCCAGCGCTAAAATGGTAACGTGACAAACTGTATAGCGGAAGAGCAGCGGGATAAAGAGCGTGTGCGGCTGATTGAGACGGCTGCAATGTTAGAGAGCAGCTCGTGAAGACTGGTGGGACAGCCTGGCTGTGCGGGAACAAACCTCTCCAATTCCCAGCTACAGAAGCCTGGGAAAGGCTGCTATACCAAAGAAATCAATTTCTAATTTGAAACAAAACCATTTTTGACTACCAGCAGTTCAGAACCCATTACTTGTGCTGTGTTGGGTGCTGACCTTGCAGCACTTTGTGTGGCGCACAGTGAGTCCCAGTAGTGCTGCTAGACAATCGAGCTAACTCGAAGGCAGCTGTTACACATCTGCAGAGATTTCAGGAGCGCTGTCATTCACCCTTTTATTTTCCAGCAGCTCCCCTCATCACTCTTTTCCCTTTTTCTTTAAAGGGCAAGAGAACGTAGTGTGCTAGTGAAAATAATATCAAAACCCTCATCTGTTTAAAAGTTTGAGATGTTTTAACATTTTAAAATATAAGAACCATGAAGTTTTTCTACTCATGGAAAAGACTGTCTTGTATTCTTCTCTTCTTTTATGGTCTGCCTGATCACTGAAGACATGAAGTTGCCCCCTTGAGCCACTCTGCCACTGCAGAGCTGGTGCATGAAGACTAGAGACAGGGCAGGGTTATTGCCTTGGCCTTTGCTGCAGCATCCAGCCTAATAGGAGAATTAACTTCCCTAGGTGTGCACCATGGGTCTGGATGCCCTGATTACTACAATGCCAGTGACCCAGCACTAACTGCCCAAGATACACTGCTTGGTTGCACCTCCTTAATTGCTTTCCTCTCGTTAGCATGACAGAATTTTTTGGTATACATTTCTTCTTTTTATCTGTGGTTTCTTTTGTTGCTATCATTTGATCCTGAAGTGTTATACAGGATATTTACTGCAGGGCCATTAAATCTTTATTGCCAGTCTCTCACTCCTTCACCTCTCCTGTTCTCCTCAACATTTGGCCAACTTTGTTGATGCTAAACATATAAATGAAACAGAGTCGACTCAAAGAGCAACCTTATGATAACAAAAATGGGTACATTATTATCAAATTAGCCTACATCGTAAGTTTTCTCTTCCATCATCATTTAGAATGTTATATTTTAGTTGGTTTTCATTGAGTTATATAGAATGAGGAAATGCTACTTTAGATAATCTAAGCTTGGGTAAAGTGCTTTTAGAAGGCATGCTCAGGGGGAACACATGCTCTTCCTGCCTCTTCCTTCTCCCCATGAGGAAACATTCTAGAACTGCTTCTACCTGAAAAATGACTGATCCTCTGTCACAAAAGCCCTTGCAACTCAGAACATTTTCCCTGCAACACTGATGAACTAACTAACTAAGACTGAATCCACTAATCACAAATTTCAGAATTAAAATGAATTAGACCATGGAGCTTGGCACTCTCCTTTTTAACTCTGCCTGAACATCATTCCAAAGGTCCCTACTGTATTTGGGGATACCTTTTGCTCATTCCTCTGTCACAGATCCCTGGATCCCTTTATATTTGTGGCAGAACTTCAGTCCAGAGTTATTTCAGCTTAGTTGATACTGTTAGACACACACTGTTATTTTTTCTTTCGTGATGTTTTAAGCTAACCTTACATAGGTTAACTAGTGGTGACTAGTTAAATTCTCTGAGAGGATTCAAACACATTTTTTTCTGGGAAACGATTATTTTCTACTTAACTGAAGTGAATAATAACCTCCAGTGCTATAAGTGAACCTGTGCTTGTAGGGATGCAAGATGCTTGATGCCCCATAGTGGATAAGCACAGCACACAAAATAATAAATATGTTGGAAGAATCAAAGTACGGAAGTGGTTTCCATCTAGCCTCTAGGGATCATTTACTTATGTTCCCTTTATTATTACTGTCATCTGTAGCTTATGTTTAGTCATAGGAAAATAAACTGATTCCTAGAAGTGAATAAAAGATATGCTAAACACTGATGTCTTTATCAACAGCACAGAAAGACACACACACTAGAGTGCTGTGAATAAACCCAGACAGAAGAGTAAATCATCCTAAAAAGGAATTCAAGTTTAGAACCTATCTTTAAGAGTTAATCTTGCTGTAAATATGGAATACTGTCACTTAAACCAGAGCATCTACATTTGCCATCCTCTGTAATTGAAAGAATTCCTGAAAATATCATCTACTTTATTATGTTTCAGATCTCCTATCACTAAACAATAACATGCACACCTCTATATTTTAGAGCATAGCTCAACATATGGTAGGTTCTCATTATATATGTGTCAACTGAATTAACATAACACTAAATATTGATTTTTCTTTTTCTTCCCTGGTTTCATTTTCTCAAAATAAGGACCTAATCAGTTAGACCTTTTGACCTCAGCGCCTGCAGTGATTTAGTGATTTAAGCAAAATATATGCTTACCTCTTCAGAGTCCTTATGATGATTGATTGCTAATGTCAAAGAGAAAGACTATAGTGAGGCCTTAAAATAGCAGTGCCTGGAGAAGTCAAGAAAACCTTGGTCATTGTTTCATTTCCTTTTATTCTAATTGAGGTTTAATTATATATACTACAGTTGCACAAGTCTTAAATGTAGCTTGATAAGTCTCACAATTCTTTTACACTCATGTAATCACCAGTTCATATGTAGTACATTTCCCTAATTACCAAAGTACCCTGTACTCTCGGCTAATCAGTTACCTCCCTAGGCCCTTCCCTGGGCTTATGAGGGCTCTCTTCTCATTGTTACTTCTCATGGTCCTTTCTGTATTTACGCCTCCCAGGCATCTCTCCTCTTTCCAAAGATACCAACACTCATGTGACTCCATTATCCCTTGATGACCTCTTTGAAAGCCTTGTCTCCAAGTACAATAAGTTTTAAAGAGTACTGAGGATTAGGACCTGAATATAGCTAGTCCATAATCAACTTCTTCCTTTCTATAATTTATGGCTTTTATTTTTGTTGTTGTTGACTACATAGGGGTTCCATTCCAATAAATAAATGTTAAAAATTTGTTTGTTTACCTGTTCCAGGTCTCAGAGAAGACAGTCATGCACAGACTAAGAATGATCTTACTGGTGCTTTTTGTAATTGTTTTTTATCAGGTTGGAAAAGTTCCTCCTAGATAGTTGGGAATCTTTCTCATAAATTTGTGTTTGATTTTGTCAAATCTATTTTTTCTGCATCAGTTGAGATAAAATTGTTTTAGTTATTGCATCACTATGACCAAATACCTAAAAAAAATCAGTTTGAAAGAGTGGGGATTTTATTCTGGCCCACAGTGTCAGAGAGCCCAGTAGGCTACCACCCTTGGGTAGAACATCAAGGTGAGAGGAGCATTGTGGAGACTGCTACATTCCTTGAGATATAGGAAGCATCTCTTCCACCCCCATGATGTTCTTTCTCCAGCTGGGTCCCACCTTCTAATGTTTCTAGAACCTCCAAAGGTAGCATCACTAACTAGAGACCAACCTTTCAATGCATGAGCATTTGGGGGAACATTTCCTACCCAAACCATAATAATCATGTTTTTTTTTTCATTCACCAATTTGATTATTTGCTAACTGAGGTATTTGAGATATAATGTCTGTGTGGTTGTAATAATTGTTCAGATTTGCTTATCATAACATATCAATGAAAACAGTGGTATAGATAAGCCTAGGTAATCACCCTCTCCCAGAAACACTGAAGGCTACACAATTAAGAATCCACTTCAAGCTGGGCAGTGGTGGCGCACACCTTTAATACCAGCACTTG